ATCCCTAATATGTTGGCCAATTTCCTGTCCACAAGCAAGTCTATCTCCTTTGTGAGCTGTTTCACACAGTTCTACTTCTTCTTCTCATTTGGGTGTGATGAGGGCTTCTTCCTTTGCATCATGGCCTTTGACAGGTACCTTGCCATCTGCCGTCCTCTATATTACCCACGCATCATGACTAAACAGCTGTACACTGGCCTTGCAATTTTTGGATGGTCAGGTGGGTTCATCCTCTTCCTAACCCCAGTTGTTCTCATTTCACAGTTGCCTTACTGTGGCCCAAATACCATCAACCATTTTGTGTGTGATCCTGTCCCACTGATGTTGCTGTCCTGTTCTGAAGACACCATCACTCAGTTCATTTACTCTACTTTCAATGTTATTTTCATGATTGGCACCTTTCTCTTTATTCTTTGCTCCTATGCTCTGGTGATTGTGGCTGTGCTACAGATGCCCTCAGCAGGAAGCAAACATAAGGCTTTCTCCACATGTGCCTCTCATTTGGCAGTTGTCACCCTGTTTTATGGTTCCATCATGGTGATGTATGTTAGTCCTGGATCACGACACCCAGTGAAAATTCAAAAATTCATCACCTTATTTTATTCTGTGATAACACCCTTCTGCAATCCTCTAATATATAGCCTCAGGAACAAGGAGATGAAGACTGCTCTGAGGAGAATCTTTAAGACTAAACATGGTACTCATAAAATCTAAGCAACAGTTGAATTCCATCTCTTAAGTGCAACTTACCTTAATAAAACTGAGTAATATATTTGTCTACAAATTCATTAAGTTTTTTTAACTTTTAAATTCATTTTTATTAAGAAACTACTATAATAAAGACCCATTTTTAAAAATTTTTAAATTTTTTTATAAACATATAATGTATTATTAGCCCCAGGGTTACAGGTCTGTGAATCACCAGGTTTACAAAATGAAGACCCATTACTATCTCAAATACCACTAACCACAAGATGCAGTAGTTTTATTTAAGAATAAATTTCAGCAATGGATTCAACTTTGTTTTGAAGTTAATATCAGGTAAGTGAAATTTTAGTATCTAAGCCCCTTATTTGTAATTCAATCTCTAAAAAGAAGACAGAAGTCTATTTTATATTTCTAAATTGAAGCAACTGGCACACATGTAATAGAGATCATAGATCACTTTGGGCATTAATGCCATATGCCAGTAATTCTCCACTGAGACATACTGACTGATAAAGAAGATTCAAGTTTGAAGGAAGTCTACCTTGTCAGAGTGCAACATGTGTCTTTAAGGAAACAGACTACTACTCACTTCAGCAGCACATATACTAAGGAAACAGACTAACAGCCTTAACTGGATAGTAATGATTTTTCAGAGTATACAAGACAAGGATTAGGAATTTAAAGTGTATTATCTACCTACAATATAGGTAAATAATAGCTAACCATAAGGTCTAGGACATTCTCAGGGCATAATTCACCTTGGGATAAATCCAGGTAAACAACAGCTTCTGGTACCATCTGTGGTTTTAATGTTAGCACTGTATGACTTACTTAATAGCATAAGGATCCTTAAAACTATTTAGATAAGCTTCACACTTGTCAGAATGGCTCAAATCAAAAACAAAAGAAACAAGTTTTGGCAAGGATATGAAAAAAAGAAACACTCATGCACTATTGCTGGGAATACAAACTGGCACAGACACTGCTGAAAATAGTATGGAGGTTCTCAAAAAATTAAAGATAGAATTACCATGTGATCCAGTAATTCCAATACTAGGTATTTACCCAAAGAAAATGAAATCTTTAATTGGAAATTATATATGCACCCCTAGGTTCACTGCAACATTATTTACAAGAGCCCAGATATGGAAGCAATCCAAGTGTCCATCCATAGGTGAATGGATAAAAGGATGTGATATACATATACACAATGGAATATAGCTCAGTTACCAAAATAAAATGAAATCTTGCTGTTTGCAACAACATGGATGGATCTAGAGAGTATAATGCTAACTAAAATAAGTCAGTGAGAGAAAGACAAATACTATATTATTTCACTCACAGGTGAAATTTAAGAAACAAAACAAATGAACAAAAAAAAATAACAAGAACAACAAAAAGATGGTTAAATATAGAGAACTGGTGGTTGCCAAAGGAGAGGTAAGTGAGGAGATGTGTAAAATAGGTGAAAGAGATTAAGAGTACATTTATCATGATAACCTCTGAGTCTTGTATAGAACTGTTGAATCACTATACTATATACCTGAAACTACTATAACACTTTATGTTAATTATGCTCGAATTTCTTTTTCAGTATATTTAACTAGGGACATTTCTTAGTGAGTTTTTATGACATATTACAAAGATAAACCAATATGATATTGACCCATCAATATTTTCCTGTTTAGCTTTTTGAATTTATGTAAGTATCTCTATGTTCACTTTTTTAAAATTTTTATTGTGTTATGTTAGTCACCATACAATACTTCATTAGTTTTTTTTTATTTTTTTAATTTATTTTCAGCATAACAGTATTCATTGTTTTTGCACCACACTCAGTGCTCCATGCAATACGTGCCCTCCCTAATACCCACCACCTGGTTCCCCCAACCTCACACCCCCCACCCCTTCAAAACCTTCAGATTGTTTTTCAGAGTCCATAGTTTCTCATGGTTCACCTCCCATTCCAATTTCCCTCAACTCCCTTCTCCTAACTCCCCTTGTCCTCCATGTTATTTGTTATGCTCCACAAATAAGTGAAATCATATGATAATTGACTCTCCCTGCTTGACTTATTTCACTCAGCATAATCTCTTCCAGTCCTGTCCATGTTGCTACAAAAGTTGG